GTTTCGAACACAGCCATCGGTTCAGGCCTTGGAAGAATGAGAGGGCGTTAGCTGATGCCGGTCTTTTGCAATCAGAATCAGAAAGTAATCATCGTATTATATTCTATCCGTTTTTTGTTTGGGTCCGCCCAGAATTCAAGTCCAATTTCGTTTCAGTCAAGTCTTATTTGCTGAAACTTACTGATATTCACGGTACATCTTCTTCAAAGAAATATTTCAAATCTTTACAATGCCCATTTTCATTCCTTCGATTCTGAGACAATACTACGGACCAATTCTGAGTAGTTTTGATTTGATATAGGTTACTGCTTATGCCATATTTAACATTCCAGCTTCAGAAGAAACAAGTTCGTCTATCAGTTGAACAGACTGTACGACCCTATCACTCTGCTGACTTCATGGAGATAAGAAGAAAATGTCGCTCCCACTCATCAATTGTTATATAAAAATCACTAACAAAATATACTAGCCAATTAGTGTTAATATTACCGATAACTAACAGCCAAAGCATTCAGGAGGTGGTGTCACAAGCGAACGTTCAGAATGAATTGTTTTGAAGGGTTAAATATTTGTGTAGTGCAATGATGTTATTCTAAACCAACTTGACGTTCAGCGCTCCTTACCAAAAAACACAACAGTGGGAATTGCGGTCACGCCGTGAAGAAGAATGACGACTGAGAGGAAAATCGATATGACGCGGGCGGACACCGTCGAATACCTGACACAAACATCATTCACGCTGAAAGAATTCCACAAGCCTGACGGATGTGCTGTAGAAGATTTTACTCTCTTCTGTTCAGGGGAGGAAATATGATGATGATAAGACCTAGCAGCTACATTCTCATGTGAATTAATGAAGCTTAAATTTGAGGAAAATCGTGGAAAAGATATTTGATAACCTGACTTACAAATTTTGTTTTTATCGTGTTTTTGCAGTTCTGGACTCATTTTTTGAGATTGATATGAATGGTTAAGCCATGCGAGTCATTTCTGTTAAAGCACCTTTGCCATGTCGATGAGTAAAAATTGATTAAATTCTACGATATACTCATCAGAACATATTGTTGTCATCATTTGACGAAAGCAGCTGTTGTTCCATTACCTCTGCCTAAGTTACTGAGGACGTTTTTCATAAGAGGTATTGACCTCGTTCGAGTTTTTTTCCTCAAAGTATCTGATTAAATGATCAGTAATGTGTCTGTCCTTCAGGCAATTGTACAGAAGTATCTGCACATCTGAGTGCCACAATGACTCGGACGAACGAGAGGACTTGAGAAAAAGCAGCTGACAACCCACTACGTTTCTTAACTAGCCATCAGGCACCTTTTCATTTCGCCTCTTTGCAATAATCCATCTAGTTTTTATTGATTCATGTCTTTGAAAACGATGCATTTTATAATCAGCTCTGATTTATACAATATACCTTTTTCAAAGATGATGTGTTTCTGGCATAATCGACAGAGCTTCAGATAATGAGCCTTCCTGTAATTCTTCCTCCTCTTTTCTACGCCAAATACATAACCAGCCATATGCCATATATAATACTTTTTCAAAGATCACGTGTGCTTTTTATATAATCGGTTAAGCGTCAAATAATAAGCCTTCCCATAATTCTTCCTCTTCTCTTCTGCACCATATATTTAACCAACCACATACCGTACTTCTGCTGAACAGAGGGTCTTTAAGTGTGGCGTACGCCCGTTCTGATGCGTCGAGGGGGCGATTTTCCTCCACTTATAAATAGTTTTAGTTCAAAATGTCTCAAAGTGACTCACTACTCTGCACCCGTTTGGATAGATGATCGTTGAAGGGAGACATTGACAAATGGTTTACGAAGGTTGATACCCTAAACGAGCTGCCAACAATTTATTCACCAAAGGCGCTCAAGAAAAGAGAAGATATAAAGAGTGTTAATTTGAGTTCTACCGAGCCCACAAGAGGACATGTTTTATGAAGGATTTTCAAAGATTGTTAGTTTTTTATAGCAATAATGTTCAATCGAGATCGTGTGGATTACTGTTTCCATCGTTAAGACTTTGCAAACCATTTTTCATGCCAAGCATCCGTAGGTAGTAGAAAACTCCATCCGATCCATCTCCTTATGTCTCACCATTCATCAGTGAAATGTACTACAGGGTGAACCGGTACTTTTTTAGTAGAATGTTAAATCTCATATTGACTTAACCATTTTTGTGCCTCTAATTCATTTTTTCTAATGATATCACTTTTCATGCATCATTTTTCCCTCACCCCGTATATGTCGCTTAACATTTCGCACATCGTAGAATAAACAAAACAATGTTTTGCCGCTATAGGTAAAAGTAAAGGCTATTTTGAGGTAAGGTAGACAGATATTTTGTCTCATAAAAATTTCATAGAGTGTAGGACCATGTCATGTTTCGTTGTTTTGGACACTCGCCATTATTTGTACTAAATATTACAGGTTCAATATTAAGACATCAATACGACTAAAGCATCAGTATTAGGTATATCCCGCAGTAACCGCATATGTTACGTCGTGTTACTGAACCATATTCCGACTCTGTTTAACTTGCGGCAGCCCTGAGTCATTTTCATAGAATATGGGCCACTCCTACAATCTATGTTTTCTCTATAACTTATTTTGTATTTCAGAATTCCCAATGAAACATGTACCATATCTTAGTTATCAGCAGTTAGGTTGCGAGCAGTTAAATTTTACTTTGCCGTGCCAGCATACAAAATACGAGTAATTACATTTTCAAGATCTTTGCTGCATACCTTCATCGAGGAATCAGAGCTTGAACAAAATCATGCTACCTTTCAATAGACCAACGGCTTCGATACCCTTTACGGTTTTACTGTTGCTACATGAAAGAAATTCACGTACTGTCAGAAATTAAAGCTCAAATAACAAATAACAACAGCAGTTTCGTTAAAACTGTATGGAAGAGAAGTAGCTTCTAAATCAAGGCGAAGCTGCATGAAAGTCGGTGTGTCTATAGGCACGATCGTGCAGTCTGATCAGTGATAGCAGCAGAGGAGAACCAGACAGGCATTCGATGTGAAGCACTTTTGACGTCTCCCTTGATTCCGTAGTCCAACATATACAACAGTGAAATGAGAAGGATCCCTGAAAGATCAGCTCTCCGATAATCAAAAATATGACGAGAAAATGACCGGAGGTGCCTAAACCGGAGGCACTTTAGGGTCTTTCGGAGTTGGGCGGCCTCTGAAAAGTAATCTTGCAAGGCCCTTCTAAGGAAGAAGACCCATGGAACTGATGGGCTAAAACTTAACAAATTGGACGGGTAGACGAGTCCACTAGTTCAGCATATGGTTGTAGAAAATCATGGTGTTTCATTGCTGTATATTTGGCCTGCCTACCATCAGTCAAACATGACAGATGACCGTTCGAAAGTTTTAAGTAAATTGACAAATTTTTTAATATCGCTAATTACGACAGCGCATACCTTTCTCAAGACCAGATTTCAAAGCGTATACACCCTCTCCTTGCTCATACTGCTTAGGTGCGATATTTAAGAGGGCCACGGATCCAGGCAATTTGAGTAATTGCACTGTCAGATGCATCTCGGATCATTTTGTTCGTTAGAGCCACCTCGCCTGCATCAAGAACGATGTTTCAGAAGATGTCGCTCATGATATGCTACCGCGTAAGTAAAAGTGTTTTCATACGCCGCATGCTATCTGATAATTTATAATTCCCTCAAGACAAAATTTAGTGCAGTACTGCACCTAATTGCTCAAACAATTATGATGAACGTATGAAAAACAGTGACAAAATCTATTGATCATCCATTTGTGAAACTGATCAAATTAAAAAAAAATAATTAACTCAATTTTTGATAACTATTTGAGCTAACAGTACGATAGGCTAGTAGAATTTTGACGCGATGGATATCAAGTCACAAAAAATGTTGACATCTTCTTCATAAACTGTTGCCAACAAGTATTTCCAGATTACGCTGTCCCATTTGACACATTGCGCCTTGTTAGGACATTCAATTTATAAGAAGGAAAATAAAAAATTTGTACAAAACTCTTGCTACTTAGAATTTGAAAAAGATCAACTGTCATTTGAATGTAGAAGCATATTTACCTTGCAGACAAACGGTCTTGCTCCTGTGTGCACTGGCATATGTCTCATCAGATTGTAGTGAGCGTTAAACACCTTGTGACATTCAGAACAGGCGAACAGTCGGTGCTTCAACGGTACTCCTGTTCCACTGCAGTTTGGAGACTTGGCCGCTTCCGGATGAGCTGCACTGGCATTTTTGGGCGTCGCTGAGAAATAGTCAAGGTTGTTTGAATTGCTGTCATCTGCAACGGAAGGAGAACACAGTTTTGCGGTGGCGGTAGACAAGGGTACAACCGCTGACAGGGCCAGCGGCCGAACGTCAGCAAACCTGTAACGCTGTTCCGTCGTCGACGGCAAATGAGCCGGGTACCACGGGTACTGTATGGTTGATGGCCAAATCCTACTCGCATACTGGAGTTGGAGTGCCAGAGCGGCATAGTTAGCGGTCATGGGACTCCGAGAAATTGGGAAACAGGCTTCTGTCACCAGGCTACGACGTCGCAACTGTTCGATTGGAACCGGCTGCATAAGACGTGATATGGAGAATGACAGTGGTTGCTGTTGAAGGTGACAACCGTTCATCTTGGTGGTCGTTGGGATCGTATCGCACCGCCGAAAATGACGATGATCATTGCAGTCTTTGGCAAGACACCCCTGTTGATGTTCCTGGCGGTGATCCATACTTTGGTCCAAGTCTCTGGTCTGATGTTCACCGCCGCTGGTCACCGTTTTCATCGATGGACGGCGCAAAACGTACGCTCACGCGATTGCCAGCTAGCCAATGAAGAATGACGCGTCACAAAACGACAGACGATGACACGGCGCCGATAGGCTTTTTCGCCCTGGACATGATCGTAGACATTTCTTCATTTATTGCCACTGATCGCTGTCATCGTTGTTAACCTCTTGCCACTTTGCACGCTTACTTACATTGTTGTTCATCAGCGAACCAATTGCACAAGCGTATAGGCGGAGCTGACTTGCAGACAACCGCGATGTTATCCACCCTATTAGCGCTCACGTGATCACAGTGTGAACGCCCCATTTGCGTACGGTAAAGTGGCTGATCGGCCAACTGTCGACTGTGGGTTCATTCGATGTCCGCCTCTCGCCCACGACAAATGATTAATCCGATCAACCATTAATGAAGCCAGTTGCTTAATGGCCTTGACACTTTCCCGAATGAGCACAAGTTCTGACCAGTGACAGAAGCGTATGGCCATAGCAATGAAATTACTATAAAATTTTAAATTCATCCCTTAGCACATGATTGCTATTTCGAACATTGCCGTTGGCCACATGGCATTATGTGTTTACGTACCATTTGAAGATACTTATAGATGTCAAAGACTGATTTGTCAGAATAAGGTAAATGGGTTTTCGGATAGATTCTTTCGTCTTTAGTTTTAGTAACTGATTGCACTTCATACTTTTAGTACTTTGGTCGGCACAGTGGCATAATCCGTTCTTTGACTATGTTTCCTGTAAAGCTGGCCCAGAGGACCGTTTCCGTATTAACAAAAATTAACACTTTCCTGTTGCTTTCATGATTAGTTAATTTGAGCACCTTGCATGACCGAGCAAGCACGGACAAAAGACGTCGAAAGGCTGTCAGACAGTACGGGACGGTCGTTATCAAGCTGTGACGGTTGAGTAACTCAGTTATTTTTCGCACCTTAGCCTTTGTGATCATACTGGCCAATTACTGCCCTGTTAGCACCTGGTAGTGGAGCTTCGAAGGTCGGTTGTGGAACCCGGGGAGCGGTGACGCTGTTTAATCTGGCTCACCACGTCGCTAATTGTCGTCGTTGCAGCGGCGATGCTCATCTCAAGCAAAGCAAGACAATAACTCGTGCTATAGAGGGCCAAGGTCTACGGCTTTTGACCAAACATGGTTTTCTTCCACCAG